GAAGGTCATAAGCTCTGTACCACCATAACTCTTACCAAGAACAACCAACTCTTCAGTGGAGAACAGGGAAATATTTAGCATCACAGTGTGTGTACTGGTGCCCAGAATGTCAGGATTGGCCACTGAGTTTGATGCACTATCATTTCCCTTTATTTTGACTTGTCAGTGTGGCTATTTCTGTCAATTCAAAGAAATTGTCTATGATAAATAAATGGGCCCTGAGTTCCAAAATCATCCATCTCTAATGACTCCTAAAGGAAGCTGTGCACACACTAAAGACAATTAAGGAGTGTTATACCAGGAATTCTGGTGCAAATGATTGCAGTGTAAGTTGTGTGCGGACAACAGGGATACACAGGGGATGTTTGCAGGTGCCATCTGGAAGGAGGCACCCTCTGACCCCCCTCAGGGTATCTCCCTCTAGATAACAGAGTATGTTTCTCTTAAGATGTGTGTCTCTTGGCAGACACCTCAGCCTTCATTACTGTTTTGATTCCCATGTGAAATATCCCCCTCAGGCTCACATTTAGACTTCTTGGCCCCCAACCACCATAGTCTCTTCTGCACTATGATGGACTGAAGTGTAGAGAGTGTCCTCCCTTCAGTTATTCTGTGCAGTATTTTACCACCACAGTGAGGAAAAGTGCATCACAAACTTCAAGCATCAAAGAGCAATATATTGGACCACATCGTGGCACCACTATGAAACTGTCTGAGCTATATTCCAGCACAAATTTTAACACAGTTGTGGCAAGTGAGCAGATACAAAGCTACAGAATCATTTCTCTGTTCCACATGAGGCTGTTGATCATTTGTTACACTTTACATCTTTGTATAAAGATCCACATTAGAAAGTAATTCAAGGCTCCATGACAGGGACCATTCCCATTTTACCTGGCTGGCTTTAGTCTGCTGGAAGTCCTATCATTTTTTACTCTTGTTAGTGTTGCTACTAGAAAATTCCAAGAAGTCTCTTTTTCTTCAAAAAATAATTAAGGCAATGGCCCTGCCTTTAGGGTATCTGTTTTATATCTTAGCCCCACCCTTTACTTTCACTGATATTTCTATTCTTATTTTAATTTAGCTACAATGTATTCATCTTCTAAATGCTTCTGTCATTGGTTGGGTCTTAATTTGTTTCTTCATTGCTGTGACAAAATACTCTGACCAATACCAGCTTGGGGTAGGAAAGGGTTTATTCAGCTTACATCTCCCAGGTCACAGTTCATCAGGGAGCCCAAGGTAGGAACTCAGGGTAGGGACCTGGAAGCAGGAGCTGGAGCACAGGCCATGAAGGAGCACTGCTTACTGACTTGCTCTCCTGGCCCCTGCTCAGCCTGCTTTCTTATACAAGACAGGCCCACCTGCCCAGGGGTGGCACCACCCACAGTGCGCTGGACCCTCCCACATCACACAACAATCAAGAAGATGCCTCACAGATATAGCCACAGGCCAGTCCAATGAAGGAAATTTCCCAATTGAGGCTCCTTCAACCCAGGTGTGTCAAGTTGACACTAAAGCTATCCAGCACAGGTTGGAAGATGATAAAATATAAATATGTACATTTCAAACCTAGCTGCAACCAATGTGGGCAACTCAAAAGCTCTGAGGGTTTAAGTTTTCTTATCTTTGAAATGACATTTTTATACTATTCTAGTTCTTAAATTTTTTTCATCTTTCCAAATAAAAACTAGGAAAGTAGTAAAACATTTGTTATGAACTTTTAAACTATTTCTCTTATAATAATACTGCAAACAGTTATGCATCTAGATTCTATATATCCACCAATGACTTAATAACTGGTACTCAGAAGAGATTCCCAGCACTCTCATTTAGAAGCAATGGGATTTTAAATTACACGATCCTAGAAAATCCAATGATATAAGTGGGTAAATAAGCCCCAGTTTAGTTTAGTTGTACATTTAATAGCTCTTTTAATAATTAATTATATGTTTGCATTAATTGATGGACATTTGGATTGATTTCACCATTTGGCCACTATGAAGGATATTTCCATGAACATTTATTCACATTTTTTGTATAGACCTACATTACTAGGCTGAAATAGCTGACTCTAGCAATATTTTCAATTTTTGAGGGACTACCAAGGTGTTTCCCAACCTGGATGCACTGTTTTACATCTGCAACAGCAACAAATGGGATATTCTCAATTTCTCTACATTTCCATCATTCGTTATAATATTTTTAAAATATTTTAGCTATGTTAATGGCTATTAAGGACTTGATTTGTATTTTTGATTACTAATATTATTGAGTGTCTTTTCATGTGTGCATCCACTTATTGTTGGTCTTGGTCAAGAAATTTCTATTCAGACCTTTTACTCATTTTTAAAATTAGGTCTGCCTTTTTCTATTATTCGGTTATAGTTACGGCTTCTCTATCCTGCTGTCTGTGGCTTTCCTTTCTACTTTCTTGATGGTGTCTCTGATGGTCTGAACTTCTCAGTGTTCATGAACTTTAATTTGTCTGTTTATTCTTCTATCATTTATGCTTTGAATGTCATATCTTGCAAAAGTTAAGTAACTCAAGTTCATGAAGATTTATGGCCATGTTTTCATCCAAGAGGTCTCTTAGTTCTGGTGATCCCATTTAGGTCTATGTTATATTTTGGGTCTGTGGCATATGGTGTGCTGATCCCATTTCAAACAGGAGAAAATCAGGCAAAAAGAGGCTGAACGATTTTCTCAGCAACTCACAGCAAGGACAGTGTTGAGAGAGTCGCACTCACAACTGTCCTGCTACTTCAATGTTACAAATAGGTCTGTTTTCCTTTTGTCAAAACAGATGTAAATTGATAAGACTGGCATATTTTGTTCTTTTAAATTATCAGTGAATATGAAATGTAGTGGGAAATGCCTAAGGAAAGTGCCAATATTACTCCATTAAGTTTCCTCATTATGCAAAGAAATGCTGCCCAGAATCATGAAAAGCTTAAAGAGTAATTCCAAAGTCTACATGTGAAAAGTGTTGACTCTCTGCACTGGAAATGGATGATGGCTTTTACAGTTAATCCACTACTTTTGGTAATAGAAATCAAAGGGAAAATGTCACCAAACATTTTTTTCCTCAATAAACAAGATCCATATTCATTGACTCTATTAACTTCACATCACATTGCATGAAAACTGACTTCAAAATGTAATCACCTTCAAACCAGATAATGCCTAAGAAATTCTACCAAAATATTATGTAAAGATACCTATTTTCATGACAGCCCAGTAAAATAGGATTTGGGTCAGTAGTTGCCCATTTCATAGAAGGTCTAGGGAAATCTGAAAGGTTAGTAATTATGTTAAATAATATTAACATAGATGAAGACATTAGTCTAGCCAAAACTACTTATAGCAAGTTTCTTAATACCAAGTGCAATATTCTACCCACCATTTATCACTGACGCATTTAACATAGCAATCATTAATATTCAAATCAATTAAAATTCATAAAGATCTGTGCTATCGACTGTGTAAATGAATTTATTATATCAGAGAGATTTCAACGCAGTCTATTAAATACACGTTTTGATTTTACCTGCTCTGCCACTGACTTGCTTAAAAATAAAACAATTAATATTATCTGGCAAAAGTGGTTACATTTCCTATCTCCATTTGCCTACTATTTTATTTTATATAAATTAACATAGTTTGTTGAAAGAGCAAGACAAGTACTAGTTAAATGGGAGAAAACTGCTGGTCTGCAATTTCTGCTGACTCCAAGCTTAATTTTAGTTTGTGCTACATTGTTAAAAGTAATAACATCCATTCATAGCATGAGCATAACGGATGCAGTCTCTTAGAATTTTAACAATGTCTTTAAAAAGTTAACATGATTTTTCGGGGCTGGAGAGATGGCTCAGTGGTTAAGAACACTGGTTGTTCTTGCAGAAGACCCAGGTTCGAATCCCAGCACCCACATGGCAGCTAACAACTGTCCGTAACTCCAATCTCAGGGGATCTGACAGCCTCTTCTGACCTCCGCGGGCCCTGTACGACATGGGCGCACTTACCTACATGCAGGCAATACACGCATACACATAAAATAAAAGTAATAAATAAAATTTTTTTAAAGTTTTTTTTAAAAAGTTAACATGATTTTCTAATAGATACCATTCAGGGAAGGTTATTTTCTTTTTGAATTTCTAGTGAAAAGACACATTTCCAAGAATCTCTATAATCTAAACCAATCTCTATAATTTGGCGAAGATTAATTTTGAAGATAATTTGAATTCAGGAAAGGGTAACACTTTAGTCTCAGCTTCATTTCCAGTGGCATAAAGAACTTTCTACAAGCAGCAGATTCAAAAATCTCACACGCTTGCGGCATAAAACTAATTGATAACCACTGGAGAAAGCTCCCCAGAAACTTCTAGCCTGGATGTTTAGCGTTTCATCTGTCCATGAGTAAGAAGCACACAAATTGCTCACAAATTACTCACACCGCTGTGAATTCTCAGGGCAAGATCCAAGGATAAATTCTCTAGGAAGCTGCCTGGTGTCTTCCTAGTATCACTACAATTCCTGTATAGAAATGCAAGACCACATACAAGGTCAGGAGTGTAATGTGCTTAATATATATATATATATATATTGGTAAGTCCTTTGCCATCTTTAAATATGACTAAGATAAATGAAATGAAAAACATAACAAAACTTTCTAGATATGAAAAAAAGGAGTACCTTGGTTAGAGGCAGAATAAGTCCCTCTGGAGACCAAGAAGATACAAAAGAGTCTTCAACATAGTAGAGCAGTAGAGCCCCAGGTTAAATACTAAGAACTTTCTATGAACAGAAATACTAGAATAAAATATCATTAATCCTATTTTTCCCAGAACACTAAAGAACATGATTTCATACACTACTCAATCATATTACAGAAAAATGTCTCCTTACTAGAGCAGTAACAGGAAGCTCCGTTTACTCAGAAAGAGAAGTGATTACTCCATAGTAAAAAGAAGGTTCTTAACACGGATACCTGGGTTTACCTTTGCTTTGCGAAAGTGGTAGACCACCAGCATGCTGACGAAGTCCAACAGCATACACAATGCTTGGAAAGAGATGATGGCAAGTCGCAAATACTTATCCTCCTGGACAAAGCATGGACTGTCATCGGCACAGAAGCGGCAGCCTTCTTTGCAGGGCAGGCAGACATGGGCTTCTTCTGACACGTCTCTTGTGCTTCCTGAAAAATGGTGATCTGGACCCCTTCCTGAAAATTCCAAATAAAACCACATCAGTTGTACCCCACGGTAAGTGAGATAGTACAGAGGCAAACCCTCTTCTTTCCTTTTTAATTACAGACCTTTCAACAAATCTCTTAAAAACTAGAGCTATTTTGCCTTTGGATTCAAAATTCTTTTGATTCCCTTGATTTTTAAAATTGTCATTCAGAGTAATTTAGAAAAAAATAGCAAAAATGGAAGCATAATGCCTCAGGGGCAGAGAACAGCCGGCTGAGTTTTTGATATCATCATCTGCACGCACAGATGAGAATACTCCCTACAGCACAAACCATCTTCCAGACATACTCGTTAAGGAATTAACAAGAGCAGGGATGGGAAAGTGGATGTGTTCTATGAATCAAGAAAGTATACCCAGCATTTCTGGACTTCTTGACCCACATGGCACAGAATCCAAAATAAAACTGATTGCTCCTTAATTCATCTCATCTACCAAGTTCATTTGGTCTAAATTGGGTAAAATGACACTAACAAACAGCACATTTGTTCCATGTGCAAACACTGGATGTTGCTGTATCCTTTGCCTAGAGTACAGGCCACACTTACAGTCTACCATGTAATTTCCCACTTTGCCATGGAATGTCTCCATGCTATTTTCTTGCTGTTCCTACTGATCATCTGCTTGACTTTAGACTTTTCTGCCTCATTTAACAAACTTAAGTTAGCACTGAGCCCCAATACTTAAAGATGATCAATTATTGACTGTAGCAATACATGCTAAAAAAAGGAACCTATTTAACTATGAACTCAGTATTAAGGACATACGTGAATATGTACCCAGTTCAGTAGATAACACAATATTGACTAAATTAGAAATGAGGAAAAGAGGTTCTTCTTATTAATTTAGTAATAAAGTTCAATAGACCCTTTATAGCTTTCTACTGTTATCAAAGGTTTACAGTCTTTCTAAGATTTATTTACTTCTGCAGCAAATACAGTAACCAAAAATTATTGAATAGTCTTTGAAGATCCAGTATCCAGGACTATTTAACAGCAATCATTCTGGGAGCTGTGGACATGACTCAATGGGTAAAAGTACTTGCCACATAAACCTGACAACTTGAGTTCAGTGCCAAAGTGCAGTAATGGAACCCACTCACTAAAGTTGTCCCCTGGCTATGTTATACTCGTCATGGCACACCAACACCGGCATTTATACACATGCATCATTCATATATTCACACATAAAAATAAATAATAGTTATCACTGTTAACATAGTGAAAGTATATGGACTTGGGCGTCAGGAAGACTGAGTCCCCAGTCTTAGCTAATTGACTTTAGACAAATCAGTTGACCACTTCATGTCTTGTTTCTATTGATGAAATATGGATAGTCACAGGGATTAGGTAAGATTATTTATATAAATCACAGTGACTGGCTTTCTCCATACATGAGAAATGCAAAGAGGAATTGGTATTTTGTGGATGGCTTAAAGAAAGTTGCTACTGGGGGCTGGAGAGATGGCTCAGCAGGTAAAGAGCACTGACTACTCTTCCAGAAGACCCAGGTTTGGTTACCAGCACCCACATGGTGGCTAACAAGCATCTTTAACTCCAGTTCTAGGTATCTGACACCCTCTTCTGGCCTTTGTGGGCATTGCATGCATGGGTGCAACTCACATACCCACAAGCAAAACACTCATACACATAAATTAAAAATAGATAAAATATTTCCAAAAATAAAGGAACTATCATTTAGAAAATAGGAAAATTAGAAGAAACAAGGGAGGTATGGAAGGTCTGAATGGGAATGATAAATTTCACTTCAAATGATTTAAATGGAAAGATGCTACAGGATTGAAGTATAAGAGTAGATTAGTGTTTGTCCTGTGTCAATCCTGTTGCTCTGATAAAACACCCCAGCAAAAAGCACCTTAGGGAAGAAAAGATTTGTCTTAACTCACAATTAAAGTTACAGCCCATTGCTGTGGGAAGGTCTCGAGGTCCCAGGAACTTGAAGCAGCTGGTCACATCTCAGTCCATCAGATCAGAGAGGTGAATGCATGCATGTTTGGTTTTCAGCTCGCTTTCTCTATTTTTCTATAGTCTAGGGACCAAAACCAGGAAACGGCGTAACCTACTTCCAGGCTGGGTCTTCCCACATCAATTAAGGCATTCAGGGAAATCTCCTCACAGACATGCCCACGGGGCAGCCTGGTCTAGACAATTCTTCATTTAGACTCTTCCCAGGTGATTCTAGGTTGTGTCAGGTGGACAATTAAACTAATCATCACAGAGTTTGAGAAAGAGCCTACTGTGAGTTCTGGGAGTGGACTGAGAAACACAAAGAGGAAAACTCTTGACAGTAAAGTGTTTACAGTGTCTTAACAGAAAACTACAATTTACTGGAAATGTAGGTATTGTTCAAATATGATGACTGAGGAAAAGCTATTATACTTAATGATTTTAACCTTCATTGACTTTTAAGATGAAGTTTAGTGTAGATCAAAAATAGGCTACCAGGGTTTAAGGATTAAATAAGTGGAAGAGAAAATATTATTTCCATAAATGTCTTGAACAAAACAAGAAAGAAAAACTAATGGTTAATAAGAATAAAGATGGTATAAAAGGGACTTTAGTTCTCTGTTTTATTTTCTTGCACATAAGCAAGATTTTTATTACAACTGAAGTCAGCAAAAGAAGCCTTTGGAAATTTAGAGAAAAAATATGACAAGTCTACAGAAAAGACTTGAAGAGTCAGGCTGGAACGTAATCAAACGTGTAACTGGAGAATTCAACTCTGAAAATACCTCAGCTCTCATCTAATACTGGAAAGAGCTGGAAATGGATTAAAGATGTTCAAGTTTTTTGTGTTTTTTGCAAAGATGTTCATTAAAGGTTAAGATGTTCTAAAAAAAAATTTTAAG